TTGGTATTTATTACCCTAGCCTGTGCCTAGACAGGAATCTAGATCAGCCTGAATTAAAGTAGTTGAGTTTCAATTTATGACTATATTTTTATTTATGGTGTACAGTTGAGCATTGATTTGTGTTCGTTTTATTTGTTTTGCGATTTTGTTCTTTATGTGTTTGACATGAATGTTCTTTTTGCTGTTACAAGTTTGTTGTCTGCAGTTGTAGCTGTATGTTTAGTATGCTAGATGTGACAAATTAGGATAGGTATTTAGAAGTATCTCGGATGGGAGTAAGGGAGTAATAATCACTATAAGTTATTACAATCCATTATGGAGACTTGGTCATTGTCTTATTGACAATGGCTTCTGTTACTTACATGGGACTATATAACTCATGTCAACGAATATCCCGGAAAAAGTCCTCACATCTGATTCTATCTGTTTGTTATCTAACAGACTTATTATGTTTCGCATTAATGTAACAATATTTACAAAACTAATTCCGCCATCAATCAAAAAACACTCTATTTTTTATTTTAAATCTTGCAAGAATTTATAAAAATGTGTAAAACGCCCTTGACATAGAGACTCTCGAATTTATTAATATCACTCTACTCGCGACAAGAGATTTATCAATTCACATTAAAAACTAAAAAAAACTACGACACCGGCGTCATATCATCGTACACCAAACTGTCCAATAGAATTTCAACCTTATGCCGTAGTTTTTAAAGATAAAAGTCTTTTGGATAGGTTTGACAGAAAGGTTAGGTTGACTTGAGTTCGTCCCAACACGACTTCAAAATAGTGTTAACATTGTAAACGGAACATTTAATTTCTTTACGAGCTACACGCACAGATAAATAATAAAAATGGTCACCAAAAATAAACGCACGTTCTAAATTCAAATCCCGGTTATCCCAGACTGAGTTATTGATATTAATCTCTATTGCAATGATAATAATGACAATAATCGATTATTTTATTTTTTTACGGTGGAATTGGAATATATTGTTAATATTTCTTTTTTTATCGTATAAAATGTGAATGGAAGAATGTTAATTTGTCTAGCAAAATGGTGGTTTATTGGGTAATATTTATTACACCCAAAATAAGTTATACACTCTATTTCTAGAAAATTATAGCTACAAAAATACAATAAAAAGTTTCAGCTTAGGTAAAATAATACGTATTTTCTTTACACTACAATTAAACTTAGATTTACACTGCCACTCTTTCTTCACTTAGTGGTATTTCCACAAAAAAAATACAAAACAGATAACTGAAAACATTTCTCAACCTTAAAAATATTCATTCACCGTTCACAGCAAGTAGCCTTTCTACTCACCTACACAGATTAAAAAATGAACTATAAAGTTCAATAAAGGGCTGCACCTTCAGTGCTTCGCAACAGCCCACCCACAGCTTTAAAAATAAGGTTCTACCAATATCTGTGCAAGAGCAAAGGGCGACCTAATAATATCAGTGAGGTAAAAAGGCCAAGTTCAACCGGATCTATGTATAATTAGGAACAGCGGTTCAACGACACGGTTGGTTTAAAAGCAAATGGGTTTTGAGATCGCTTGTAGGAAAGTTGGTTAACTTTGTAACTTTGAGAGTTATACAAAGGAGATTAAATCACAAACTTTATAAATCTCTTCCGCCTTTGTTTGTGCCTAGAAAATTTTATAAAATAAATAACCTAGAATTGTGTTCGGTAAATTGCAATAAGCTGTCAATTAAAAAAAAGATGTTATACATAATCTACTCTAGTTTTTTTTTTATATTACCTAATCTATAAAGTTTACTTTCCATTGTATTAGGTACTTCTGTATTAATAATTTCATCAAGGGGTACGATAGACTCGATTGAAACATTAGCTGAATAACAAAACATAAAAAAATATCGATTTCGAGTCGACAAAAATTTGAATGACGGAGATTAAATAATCTCCATCATCATTTTATTAATTCATTTAATGACATTGACAGACAAACCGCAGTCGCCATCTTGAGTAGACAATAAACGTTCCGTTTCATACTATACTCGGAATTTTAATTCGATTCCAGATTTGATTTGATTTGATTTAATTTCAGGGTTGCAACGTTATGACAAGTACTAAATAGTGACGTTGCGTTCGATATGGAAATGCAATATTACTGGATCGATTCTTCTTGTTTATAATTTTACTCTTGTAAACTAAGTATATCAGGAAATTAAATATTTCTGAACCGATAATTTAGTTTTGACGATTAATTAACGATCTGAGACTTTTCTTTTATAATTGTGGGTGAAATAAGTAAAAAATGTAACCACGAAGGAACATGACAAATAAAACAGATAGATGTATTATAGTAATAAGTTATTTTATAAATTTTCGTCGTCGTCATCGCTATCGCTATCCTATCACTTTCTGTAACATTTATTATAAAACACACACACTGATTGTTTATCGATTATTGTATTCATCACTACACTATTATATGTGGTATCATTATTTCACAAAATGACAGTAGCTATTGTCAAATCTGGAATCTAATTAAAATTCTGACTATAGCTCTCAAATACGCCTCGCCAATCGTTGTCGCGTCAAAAAAGTATAAATTAACAAGAAATATGAATAATTTCACGCGAACTAAGTCGCGAGTAATAGCTAGTATTGGATAAAAAGTCCATTTGGTATTATTTTATTTTTCGCAGTACCTATATATAACCTTAGAGAGAAAATATATATTACATTATATCATTCTTAGTCAATATAAGAACTTATTTGCAGATATTGAATAAACAGTAATTAATCGATGAGTATTACATTAAGTAATTATCGTTGATGAAGATGTATCATCATTTATACGCGTAATACGAATATGGTATATTATGAATGTATACTTACATCCAACAGTGATATGTTGGATTTATTAGTCCTTATATAATATTCTAGTACAGGCGTATGGATTATATTAAAAGTGTTCTTAAGCTATTTTTATATTTCTTTGTACTTAAAATATCAGTTGCGATGACTAACATTCGGCAATTAACTTAATTTTACAAAGATAACCAATCCAGCTAGGTACTTACTAAAAAGTCCATTTGAACCTCAATAACCTAATCCAAATTGACAATAAAAAAAATAAACATACCTTTTTCGATCAGTAAAACATTCATGCAGCCAGTTGTAGAAAAAAAAGAAAAGAGGTTTACAAAAGTAGTCCATTTATCAATCGACAATAGAAATCCCTTTAGAAATGATAAGGTGAAGAAAAATAACTTAATTAATGTATTTTATTGTTAGAAAATAGTGGCGTAGAGTTCTAAAGAGGTCAAATTAGAGAACATGACAGATGGACTGGCAGATACATGCGATGGCGCCAAAGCACTAATAAATTATTGAATTTGACATTAGAATTTGATGTTTAGCGTTTCTACGAAGTTTGTCTCTATTATTCTACGACTATCCACTTGAATAAATGAGGTTAGCACATTAAGGTACATTTTGAATTAAGATACTCATGATTTTGCTATGTTAACTATAGATCCTTGCTACGGTCTAGTGTTTTCAGGATGCGTTTGATTAGGTACACTATCTTTAGGAAATATGAAATTTTTGGTCTTTGTACGCCATGTTATTCACTCAAACGTCCAAATCCGGCAGCTGTCATCCATTGCCAAAAAGTTTTAGGTGACCATAGTCACCCGGACGTTTGAGTGTTAAGTACTTGGGTAATAAACTGAGCTAACATTATGCATGCGCACATTATTTGAGAAGGAAACCGAACTTTGTGACGAAAAATAAAACTAATAGAAGCTAATACAAATACCTGTCGCGGAGAACCTAACGGGTTACCGGTGCTCCGGCTCGAAGTGCAGGAGTAGGAACGGGATGGTTTTTAGTCAGTAAGAGTCTGACACTCCCTTCCGCCTCACCCAGGCGGGAGCAGTCTTTCGATGATTTTCCACCCTTAAAAAAATACAAATACCTATACATACGAAATATACCTAGTTTTTAAATAATTATATTGTACTAAAATTGGTG